AGGAAAGACAACATTCTAGAAGGAGGACAGGGTCCATGTCCGTGGGTAGATATGATCTGTAAGATGCTGCTCTGAGGCACAGTGGGATTTCAGCTCTGAGATGCTTTCCAGAAGGCCAATGAGAGTAAGGAGGCTTGCTCGTGGCTCCTAATGGATGGGAAGAGGGGAGGAGAGTGGGAGTATGCAGCTACCCTGGCAATGTCGGGGCCCACATAGCTGTGGTTCTGCACACTCCCTAACCACTCGGACTCTGTGCCAGATGATAATGGGCCTTGTCGGAGTCATATTTGGGCAGGAACTCTCCAAAGCCCCCATGCCTGGCTTACTATAGGACGGTCACCCTATTATCGTATCCCTACTCCAGAAAATATGTTTGTGACCTATCATCAGTGCAATAAGATTGAAAATAATGTCACCAGCTGCCCACCTCTACCGCCCTGCCTTTGCCCATATTCAGGAAAAGAAGAATATTCACAGTGCTCAATGGTTGGGAGAGGGTGAATTAATCAATTCGTGTCAACCAGGAAGGCGATCTCTGATAGAGGGCCACAGGGGCCTACAGCCATGGTCCTGCCTTCTCCAGGATCCTCTTTTGATGACTTGGATAGAAATACAAATATACCAAGCCTATTCCAAGATCCATGCCCCGAAGGTATTGCTCATGAGGTAGATAATGAGATTATTTTTGAAAAGCATCTCTTTCAGCTGGAACGGTGGGTCAAAAACAGCCAGGTAAAATTTAACCAGATGAAATTGATGCTTAGAAATAATTCAACTCTAGGATGGCGTTTGTAAGCCTTCACTGTAATCCAAGTTAAAAAATCAGGGGTTATAGTTGACTACAAGCTTAATATAAGCAAAAGCAGGATGAGGCCACTTTTTTAAAAAAAAAAAAAGCAATTTAGTTTATGATATCGAAAGCAGAATAATCGAAGAAGAGGAGAGAGTTCTCCTGCTCTGCACTAATCTAAGCTACGCGGAGCCTTGGTTTAAGCCCCCATATCCCTTTTTACCCAGGATTTTAATAAACTACAAAAAATATGGAAGTGAATAACTGGAGTGAGTAAAGGGATGGAGGAAGCCAGGGACTGGAGGAGACAGAGATGTCTGGCCCCCCTGAAGTCTATTTGCATTTGTCTTTCAGAATGAGCGGACACTTCTGGATTGTTCCAGGGGGCAAAATTCTAACAAATGTGTAGATGATACGAGGAAAGTCACTGTGCTAAAGAATGTTCTCACGGTAGCAACTGCCCTAGCCATTGCTACCCTCATAGCAGTGGAATATGCCACCCCACGGAGCAGCAAGGTCCCCGGCCTAACATTTAGAAGCTGAATGGTCAAAGATATTGACAAGCGGGTTTCGGCTCTGGATTCCATCATCTCTTCCGACTGGAATTCTAGGCTGCATTAAATATTGTGTTCAGCAGTTTAGAAGGTATGGAAAAAGAGAGTGGATTCTAGGGAGGGAGTTGGCTGAGACTGGAGGAGGGGCACCCAGAGGATTCAGATGAGACTCTGCCTTCAGGGAGCAAAACCAAATGATGTCACACCGGAAGCAGGGGAAACTGTCAAGAAGTGGAATTACTGCCCTTCACATGTCATCCTGGCCTTTTTTTTCCTCTCTCTCTCTCTCTCTTTTTTAAAACCATTTGCTGCTGCAGCAGCTGAGCCCTGGGCACCAGGGCTCTCTGCCCTGCATGCCTAAAAGGAGGTCAGCAAATGAAGGACACAGGCATCCATTGGCACAGGGAGACTGGCCACAGCCTGCAGTGGCCATGTTCATGGGGCACCCTGGTGCTGGGTCAGAGGCCTGACCTGTTTCAGTTCCCATCCAGAAGGTTATTCTGTTGAAAGCACAAAGATGACCAAAGTCGTTTGCCTGTTACCCCATGCCACTTGCAGATTCCAGGTGGACAGGCTCCCATGTCAACCACCTCAGCCTGGTCAGGAACAGAACCTGCCCCAGAGGCCTCAGCCAAAAGAGGACTTGCCCTCCCTGGCCTCTGCTTCTCCCGGACCCTGCCTGGGGGACTCATCTTCAACCCAACTCCAGGGACGGGAAGTAAGGGCTTTCATGTCATATTCTTTTCAGCTGTCCTAGGAACCAACTTGATCGCGGATGACACTCCCGCCTCTCCCGGGCTTCACCAGGGCTGCTTTCAGCTCATAGCGGGATTGTATAATTATGGTGATTACAGCGTAAGGCTTTTTTTCTCTCTTCATCTTTTGCTTTCAAATTCATCGGGGCCTCTTATTAAACATGGCGATCTTGGTAAAGTCAGCAAAGTTTTAATAAGACATTTTTAAAAACTAAAGAAAGCCCCGTCAGAGTTGATGGTTACTGTGTTCTCTCAGACATTCCTTTAAAGCCCTGTCAGATGCAGTTAGTGCCTGGGTCTAAAAAGGGGGAGAAGGGGATATAGGGGACACCTGTACTTATCTGCAGGGCTGCAGAAGCATCGGATGCCATGCCTCTGACCTTTCTCTTTTGCACCAAGAGCATGGTGCATGGAACCTCCATGCCTAATGGGAACAGACAGACTGTCAAGCAAGGACAGGACACCCGGCCTGACCATCAGAGCAGATTAAGTGGAGAAATGAAGACGAAGCATCCAATACAAAACTCAACCCAACCTTGTGATCTACAGCACAAGTTATAGGTGGATTCTACCCTGGATGATGCTGGAAGTTTCCAGGGCTTCCATCTCTCTACTATAGAAAGGAATCAACCAGCAGCCTGTGTGGATCAGGATCCAACGGTCCTGTGGTTGGTGGAGGCCTCCTTGGTAATGATATGGCTTTAGACCCCATTATTTACTCTCCTCAATCATAGCTTTCCTGAATAATTCCTAGGTCTATAGGACATCATGCAGACCACCAAGAAGGAGTGTGAGTTGGGTGATGGCCACCAGAGCCCCCCCCATCTGCCCCCCAGCAGCTTTGTCCAGGTTTGGTGTCAGAGTTCTCATCATGTCCATGTTCCCCAGGGATGAAAGAGGCAACCGACAGGGAGGGCGTCTTGTTCCAGCAGGAGTGTGTTTTTGAGACACCCCTGAATGGGCCACTCTCATGGGTAGCTGCCCTAAGCCATCTAGATTGTTCCTTACCCTGACTGTCGCCAGTTACCTGCAGTTTATGTCACCAAAAAAAAAAAAAAAAGGAGCTGGGTTGTGACTGAGCTGCCTCAACCACCTCAAGCCAAAAGTCAGAAATGTGGCTACAATATACCCGCCAAATGCAGTCACCTCCACTACTGAAAATGACCTGCTGCTTTGCCTCCTGAGAACATTGTCCCTTTCGTGCCCACAGAAATGCAGACAAGTGAGCTAAGTTAGAGACAGGCAGCCCCAGTGGAATCCCTACCTGTCCACCTGGTGTTGGTATAAGACCCTGGGGACAAGTCGCTCACACGCCTACTGCATGGAGTACATGCCAGCACTAAAAGAAAACATGACAGTGTTAACTGTCACCTCTGTCATGCTGAACTTATAGTTCCTTTTTTTTTTTTTTTTTTTGGTGGTTCTGAGGATTGAACCCAGTCCCTGAGCTATATCCCTAGCCCTTAGCTGGTTCTACTCCAGCTCTTCCTTTTAGTTGTATGACATGAGCAGCAAGTCAAAGCCTTAGTTTCCTCATCCATAAAAGGGACATAGAGCAAATGATGATGTGGGAAAAAATTACATAACGTGCTTAGCAGACTTTGCAACATATGTGCTCAACAAGTGTGACTCTTAGTCTCATTTTCATCATTATGATGTCATTTGCAATCCAAGCTTAGCTCTTCACTTATCACCTTGTTTAATTTCCGACAACACTCTGCGAGGTGGATATCACTGTATTCATTTTTTTGCAGTTGAGGATGGGCAAGTGGGTATCTCATTATGACAATATGTACAAAGTGCATTTTTACAATGATTGACATGGCAACTACTCAATATATGAGAGCTACTATTAGTGTCCCAGTTTACAGTTGACTCCGAGAGCTAGTTTCTCTGTTTTGCTCAGGAATAGGGGGACACTGGTGCCCAGAAGGCCAGCTTCTGTCCTATGACTGATTTCTCATGGCCCCTAAGCATGTCTCAGGTAGCCTTGGGAGCTGTAGATCCTATCAACCTGGAAAATAGAAGAACCACAGGTAAAATGTTACATATGTTGCTCGCCAGGAACTGGTATTTGGCCTCCTACTTAGGTTCAGGACTCTGTGAAGCCTTCTGCTTCCAGACACAGATCATGAATGGTTCTATCCATGAAAACACCATAAAATGCAGTTTTCCAATTGTAGCCCTCTGTATGACAACCCCATTCCCAGGAACGCTGGCCTCTCAGCTGTCTGCCTGCCTAGAGCCACCCTGGGCAATCTAATCTCACTAAGTCCAGTTGCTCCCTCTGCCAGATAAACAGAGGTTTCTATTTTTTTAAGCCACTTATTACATAGCAAGGTTGTTGGAGGAATTTGAAACAAGTGACAGGGGATGCTTTGAAATCTCTCAACAAACCAGACCCCTGGTGTGTGTACTCCTACTGCCTTCAGCACTGACAGAAACAGCAGAAAGGCCATTTGCACTAAAACGAGTGGCTTTCTCCTGGGGAGAATTTAGGTTTTGAATATGTATTTTGAGTAAATGCTTTAAGTTTGCAGTCAAAGATCATAGAAGCTGATGTAAAACCCCATAGCCAATCACGTGGCTGCTTAGGCAACTTGCATGAGATGCTTACGTGAGTACCCGTGGTGTGAACATGCACATGAGCGTGTACACCTGTGTATACACCTGTGCACAGGTGTGTGCACAGGTGCATGTGCCACCTGCCTGATACACACCCGGTGTTCAGTGTATGGGAGGTGTGTCGCCATACACTGCAGAACTGCATGTGCCTCTGCTTGGACTGCATGCCGCTGCAGCCGTGTGCCGGGGCAGGGGCTCCTCTAAAGCCACAGGTCTTCATGGTTTCAGCTGGATAAGTTATTCTTCACTTCCCTTCCCCAAAACACAATTGCCTAGTGCTGCTGGCGCAGAGTCAGAATGGCCGCTGCATTTCACCCCCGAGGTGGCTTCCTTCCAGCAGTGGGTGAGTGATCCCGGCGTCCGCACGCTCTCTAACCTTGGGGATCCTTCTGCATAGAAGGTGCTCCAAAATCCAGCAGAGATGATCTGTCTGTCTGTGGCCTTGGCTCTACCCACAGCTCCTGTTCTCATCCCATGGTCCCACAGACAGTCAGCGGTACCCATTTCTTGGTGTCTCTATTTTTTTCTGCCCAATTTTGCATTCATGATTTTTTTCCTTTGGAAGAAACAAGGAGCTGAGGAGGGTCCAGAAACAATGCCTGTCCTAGGAACAGCGTGCAAATAGCACCTTAGTTATTGATCCTGTTGATCACATCTTCAGATTTCCATTCCCTAGCAGAAGAAGACAGAAATGCCCACTTCCATTCAACAGCAGCATCCCAAGGCTTTGTCTCCCAGCTAAATCTTCCCTTTCTTCTTGCTCTGAGAGCCCTGGGTTAAGTCCTGCAAGAAACCTCACATTTCTACATACTAGACCACCAGCAGAGAAGAAAGCTGAGAAACTTCCCATCCACTGTCCCACAGGGACCCAAAACATCTCAGCAACATGTGGAAAGAATCTGTAGGGAATAGGGAAGTAAGCAAGTTCTCTCTGCAGCTAGGAATCCCAATGACTCAGACCCAAAAATGCTGTTCAACCTGTTCCCTGATTTTTTTCAGTTACAAATGCATGTCTCCTGAATGCATCCTGGTGGTAGGAAGGAGAGGGAAATGAGCCAGTGCTCTTTGCATATGCATCCTAATGAACTTGAACATTCACTGCCCTTTTTTGGAGGGCAGTGGGCAGGGGGGTCAGAAGTTGACTGCCTGTGCTTTCTAGCTCTGCCTTAGCTAACTTAAGTTAGTGCACATGTTTGCAGGATAGGATAGAGTTAGAATCCTCATAGGTCCCTTGGAGAATTGTGGGCTGCCAAACAAGTAACTTTCTTTAGCTGTAATGTCCACAATACCAAATAACTAAACTTCAGCTGCACACTCTCCTGTAGTCATAGTCAAGGGTTACTTAGTTGGGGGAAAGTAGCATCAAGTTGTTGCCAATAGCAACACAGTCATGTGTCTCTTTCCTTGAGTCTTTTCATCTTGCCTAATTTGGAGTGAACCAGCACTTAGATACCGAAGTACATTTGGAGAGGAGAGAGGAAGAGGCAAGCATTGTGTGGGCCACATGCGGGCATGCTACTGAGGGGCTCTGCAAGCAGAATGCATCCCTCCACTCCCAAGGCCACTAAGTATTGACTGCAAGCTGAGGGTAGAAAGGGCAACGGGGTTTGTGCAGTTGGGACAAGTGGAAGGAGAGAAGAGAGATCGGGTGGGAAAGTGGGCATTTTCACTGCAGGAGATGCAGAGTAGCGGGGACATAGAAAGGCACAACTTGGGAAGGAGGCCTGGGAGTCTGTGCCTGGGCATTCTGCCACCAATGTAGGGCTCAGCTGCTGAGCTCTTGCCACTCCTGGCATCCCTGCCTGGTTCCAGATTTGTCCCTGCACAGCTGGAGAGACCAAGGAGGAAGGTCTATCATAATTGACCCAAACTGACAGGCAGAAGTTAACCTCAGCAGAAAGTCCTGTGAGTGGTGAGGCCAATGCGGGCAGGAGTCAGGGATCAGGAACACCACCCAGGGAGGATGTGTCCCCGAATCAGGCACTTGACCTAGAATGGTTTGAAATTGGGTTAGTTCTAGTTGCAATAAGGCCACTCTGCCTGGCCCACCTTGGAAAGGTACACGTCATACCTGCTTACTGTCCTGCCTGGGAGGGGTAACTAGGGAAGATCCCAGAGGCAGCGGGCACTAGTAACACAGGGCGGTAAAGAACAGCAGCTTTCCCTGACCTGCCCAGCAGTCCCTGCTAAAGATCTGTGTGCACTCCGCCACGGTGACCTGCAGCCCAGCTCAGTGCTGTGACCAGAAGCTCCTCTCACCAGGCTCATAGCCAGAAGGGGGCACCTCCCCTGTCACAGGATTTCCAAATGTGGTGAGAAGCCCCAGGCAGAGCAGAAGCTGCCTGAGATGGGCAAGGGTGCTCAAGAGCTAAAATCTCTTTCTCACCCTGCATTGCCCCAAAGCTGGCACAGTGTAGGTGGGCCAGGGAGAGATCTTAGACCCTGAGTGTTTCCATCTTCCTCCTCCCTCAAGTCGAAGCCCATGCAAAGCAGGTGAAAGACTTCACAAAGGCCAACCACCTGGGCTTGGCCACAACTAGCTGTCTGCTCTCAGGCAAGTTCCTGGAGGTGTATTTGAGTCCGTTTCTCGTGCACTTAGTGGGATTAAAGGAATATTTAAGCAGCAGAGGTGTTGTGGACATTAGCTCAACTGTTTGTCAAATGCCTTTTTGCTTGACATGCAATAGCTGCTCAGAGGTCAGTCAACTGGCACCTGTCAGCTAACCTGTGTCCCTGGTGATGGGACCATCCCCATCCTGCTGTCATCAAAGTCTAGAAGATTTGAAGAGAACACTTGCAAAGGGAAGTACACAGGATATCAATGTCACTCAGTTGGGGAAGAGTAAGAAATTCAAAAAATAGGTCCTGGGGGATAAGGAGATACATTGGTCCTTTTACATTAATTCAGATAGGAGGGCTGGCAACTTGCTTTTACTAAGTTTAAAATTTTTAAATAATAATTTTTTAAAAATCACTGGTAGGTATTGGAGCAAGGTATCTGAACCTGCTTAGGGTCCCAGTGACATTTTGTGGGGGAAATTGCTTTCAGATAATGTGACTTCCAGGCAAATTCCATATTCCTACCATTTATATGGCAAAACCGGGTTGTTTATACCACTCTACATATGATGGGCTGTTTCAAAAACAACCCATGATCCTCTTTCTTATTTTTAAAAACAAATTCAGGTTTAAGTATACGTGAATATATAGTAATTTTTTCAGCCAGTAAAGTTCCTGTTATTAATTCGATTTTCACCATCCCTTGATTTTTTTTTAAAAAAAAGGGGGTGTTGTTTTATGTTTGTGCTACATCTTATAAAAACTCAAATAAAGAGAATATTTTAAAACAAAATAAAATGCCCTTCAGCCCCTGAGAGAGATCAGAAGGCTTGGTGAGGACCCAGGAGAAATACAGACCCCAGGAATGAATCTTGCCACAGGGCTTCCGCCCCGACTCGCTGCTAAAGGGCGAGACGGCCAGAAACACCCGCCTCTCCCTTCTGATGCTGCTCTGGCCGAGCTCTGCTGTGGATCAGCCGTGTGTCATGTCTGACTTGTCCCATTACCCAGTTTTCCCATTTCATCCACACCACCTTGCTTCACAAGATGAGTAGGGGGTGATGGGAGATGGAGAGTTGGACACGTTTTGCAGCGATTCTGTATTAAGTATGGATTTTCCTGCCCCCTCTGCCAGAGTTCCTTAGACCCCTAAACCATCCCAAAAGGATGTCCCTCTCTCTCCCCAGTCTTAAGCATCACGGAGAAAGGAGATGCCATAAGCCTCAGACTTACCATTTAAACTGTTCCTTTCGCCTTGCTCAGCGGGGAAGGGACACCAGGAGCACCAGCCCTCAGAGAGTCACCTGATGAATTTAGGCAGGTCTTTTCTTCTCCCTTCACCTTCTGAATTCAAGCCAAGACTCTTACCTTTCTGCCTGGCTCTTGAGTTCCAGACTGCTGTCCTCAGCTAGCCCTTCTAAGTTGGTACTGCTACACACGCACATCCTTTATGAATGTGAGCATGATCTAGCCACTCATAGGTCACCTTCAAACTCCTTGAAAGGACAACCCATCTCCAGAGCCTCCCAATATTTGCCTGATGAAGTCACTTGGTGAGCCCTATTCAGCAAAACACCTTTTTTCATTAGCATGGATGGAAATTCCTGGGCCTCACACCAGGGGGATCCATGTGGATCAGTGGAAGCTAGAAACAGTGTTCCAAATTAGTTTTGTTGCAAGTTCCAGTTCCCTTAGCAGAGGAATCTGGGTTACTCCCATACTGGAGGAGAAAGCACTGAATTTCTCCAAAGGCAAAGATGGGCTCAGCAACTGAAAAAGAGTAAGAAGTGGGAAGTTCCCAGGCAGAGATGTGACAGCTGGGATCCCCCTCCCAATCTTTCTTTCCTCCTTTTGAGGTGTAATTACATACGGTAAAATGCACAGATCTAAAATATATGGTTCACTGAATTGGACAAATGGATACACCCATGTGATCTACACCCTATCAACCTAGAAAATTCCCTCCTGCCCCTTTCCAATCAGTCCCATCCCTTTTCTCCAGAAGCAACCACAGTTGATTTCTATCCTCAGAGTTGCTCAGATTTTGACCTGATGCATTTGAGTTCTGTCTCTTTGGTCTTGGGTCATCTGAACAAGAGAATCTCATCAGCAGTTCCAATATCTTTATTCCCTTACCATTGAAAAGGGTTCTCGCTGAACCCCTAATGTTTGGCTCTGCTGCCCCCAGTATGCCATCTGACCCCCAGGGCTACTCTCTGAGCCCAGTCCTATCCCAGTCCAAGAGTTTAGCACCAGTCTCGCAGGTAAGTAAGTGGCGGAAGTTCTTGGTCACGGGGATTGTGCATGCTTTGTTGATTAATATCTGAAAAACGCAATGCACAGGGCCACAGCATGTCCAGCAGCATGTTGATTTTCCTTAAAGCCCTGCACAAAAGGGAGCAATTCCTTTTGTGTGTTTCCTTTCAGAAACAAAGGATTCCATGATCGCCTTCTTCCAGGCTTCTAGCCACCGAGATGGCCACAGAGCTGAAATGATTAGTCAGTGTGGAGGGTGGGAATTGAACGTGTGGGTGTTTGTAAACCTAGTACTAAGCCCTGTGGTCCATGAAATTGAAGGATCCCAAGTCCTTTTGGATTACACTTTGCCGAATGTCTCCAAGGTGAAAAGCACTTTGACTGTATGCAAAGCTTTGGTGTCTCTGGAATGTACCTTCCGCAGCTCGGTTCTTAATCACCGTATATTTTTTCACTTGGACAAAGGCTGCCTGCTAATAGCATTTTCCACCGCACTCAGCTGCTTCGTTCAGCGACGCCAAGGCCCTGGGCTGAGCTGGCTGCAGTTTCCTGGCACCATGACCCATTCCCAACTGACCAACACTGAGGAACATCATGCATTCACACCCTGAAAAAAAAAAATGCTCCCTCTGTAGCTGTGCAGTTGCCAGACACAGGCGGAGTTACCTCTCCCCTTCCTGAGCAGTTCCTTTAGAACCATCCAAACTGGAGGCAGGGATGGAGGAGAGGGGAAGGGAGAAAAGAGCCCTAGGAGTGCAGGCAGTACCCTCCTGTCTCTGGGCAGAACAGGTGCCTCAGGAGCTGCCTGCAAGCCCCCAGGGAGATATCCACTGGGGCAGCTCATCTCTGAGCACAGGTAGCCTCTGCTTAGATTTCCCTTTGATCCCTGAACACTACAGGAGACTCAGCTCTTCAGAAGGGAGGCTGCTGCTGAGCTAGTGGGATTGCAGGATCTCTTCCCCCAAAGCCCTGGGCCAGGCAGGCATCTAGCCATGCCTGCGTCCTGCATGATTAACTGCCTCCCAGCCCGAGCCTGCCCTCACTCACCCAGGAGGTCACAGTGTAGCCAGTAGATTGCAGCTGGGCTGAGAGGCTTCCCAAGCTGCCCGGAACCCGCATGACCTCCATCTTTAGCAGCAGAACTGGCATTTGGTAAATGCGTGAATGCAACAGTGGGGAGAGGGAGACAGAAATGCCAAGCCACAGCACCTGGATTGATGAGAGGTTTGGAGCAATCTCAGGAATGGCCCCTGGGCTGGTCACCTGCACCATTCACCTCTGAAGTCCTGGGAAATAGAAATGGGGGAGGGGAGGGGAAGGCAGTTACAGGCTGGTCACAGGTCTTTGGAGTCAGCTGTGAGGCTGAGCTCCTGGACTATGGTAGGAAAAGATTAATTAGCAACTCCAAGCCCAGCCCAGCTCTGTCTGTGAAGCTGGGAGGAGTTAAGGTCAGGGGTGCCTTGGGGCCAAATTCACCTAGAACAGATAAGACACATCATCCTTCAGAAATAAAATATCCAGCCCCCTCTCCAGCCAAAAATGACCTCACTAATGAGGATGGAGCTGCAGTGAGGGTTTGGGCAACTAGTGAACCTGATTTTCCTTGTCTCTAGGCTTTGAGCATACATATTGGCAAAAGACACTTATTCAGAAGAGTTGAAGATTTTTTCCCCCATATCTGCCAGTTAAATCAGAGCCCCAAAAGCCATGTATAGCAAGCCAGAACATACATATATTTGGGTACACACTGTGTTGTTTGTGGTCCTGGTGGAAGATAGTTGGGAGAAGAAGGAGGAGTTGGTATTAGGGGTATAGCAATAAGCAGGACCCAAGAGGAAAGCAGAATTCTTTGATTCCTTTCATAGGAGCAGGGATGGGATGAGTGATAGGGGATGGAGGAGCTCACCCCAGGAGGTCCCTAAACTCACTCTGTCCCAGTGTGGACCCCCGAACACCTTCCCATGCTTCCTGTCTTCGGGCCTGCACCAGGAAAGCACCTTCATTCCCAGGTGGACCAGCTAGATGACAAATGCCTCACCCCACACTCCATGTAAGAAAGGTCACTGAAGGAGTGCCATTGATCCCAGGGACTGGAGGGGAGGCCTTCAAGGCCAGCCTCTGCCTTCTAAGAGCTATTGTGGTACCTAACCTGCCCTAGACAAAGAAGTAGCCATCCTGCTTAAAGATTCTCAAAGACTGATACAGAAACCCTCCAGGATTTTTTAACAATATGATTTAAAAAATCCTTAGCCTAGTATAAACGTACCCTGCTGCAGGCTAAGTTTAGTGTATTTTAAGATTCAGATAAGGTTGTTGATGGGGAGTGTGGGCAATTTTTTTCTTTTCTTAAGATAGGGTGAAAAATGAAGAGTTTTTGTCTCACTGGCAAAAATAGGGAATGAAAGAAAGGGGGAGGGGGAAAGAAGAAAAGAAGGAGAAGTAGATGCAGGTTTTCCTATAGCTCCTGAGGGCACTGCTGTTTCTGTCTAAGCACCCATCTGTGCCATCAAAATTCTCAGCCAGCCTGGCCGTGTCCCTCTGTGGAGACCTAAGCCAGATGACATGTTGTCCTGCATCCAGCTAACTCCAAGCCTGTGTTGTTCATTTTTAGATATGCCCATTATCCATCAATTCATCAATCAGCAGGTTTATTGAGTACCCTACCAGGCTTCACAAACCTGATCAATTTTTTTTAATTACATCCAGCTTACACGCAGCCAAGCCCAGTCATCTAGATGAGCTTCCACACCCTGCTTGGAAATGAACACGAGGAACTGCTGGCCCCTGCAATGTCACGACCAAGCCCCCCAGCCCTTGCTGACAGGGGATGGTCTGCTACCCTTTGCAGATGGCGATGGTGTCGTTGACCCGCTGTCAATACTGTGATGAGTTTTGCGTATTCTCCTAGACGCGTGATCTATCCGCTTGGGTCCAGCCCCACTGTCTGGACCTCTGCCCAATGAGATATAGATTTCTGAAGAGGGTGGGCCAAGGAACAGGTGCAAACTCTGTCAAGGGAAGTAAACAGCAACTGATCCTCGTTCATCTGCTCAGCCTCCCTTTGATGTCCTGAATCCCCTCTCAAACCAGAGGCTCCTCAACCATGTCCCCAGGACATATAGTCAGTTGGACTCTCCGGGACATCTAGGCCTCATGCACTGGGCCTCATGGTCCAGTGTATTATCTTAGTTTTTGAGAGGAATGGCCACATAGGTTATAAGCAGAGACTTATAGGCTTCCTGACATGGGGCCAGCAAACTCAGCCTCTGGGTATCACAGGTGGAGAGTTGAGACCATAAGGAGACAGCAGGAGTCCACTGTCCTGGGACCTCCAGTGGTTCTGAGCCTCAGCAAATGCCCCTGTCATTTTCACAGTCCCAGAACCCATCCCCAAGAGGACCCAAAGCTTGTGTCTATCCTACATTTCAAGCAGGATTCATAGATCTTCTGTGTTCCCAAGACTAATTTATTCATTTCTAAGTCACCCAGATCCATAACCACCATTTATTTGGATCAACCCACCCTTCCTGACCTCAGTACTCCCTAATCTACCTTTTCCTCCAATCCTGCTTGAATAAAATCAAGTTCAGGGGCAGCCCCCAAGCATTAAGAGGTGCTCTACCCCAGGGTTTAAATACCTAGTTCTTTGGTAAGTAAAACTTCTACACTCCCCAAAAGTACCAGCCACACACCCTCACTCCCTGAACCCGCCCTGCAGTCCTGGCTTTTCCAACTGTCCCCAGTTAGGATTCCCATGCTAGAGACCCCAGTCAAACTGGTCAATCGGGTTGGTGAGTTGTTTGGCCTCTATGGCTTGGGCAGCAATTAATTCACCTGTCTGGCTCTCTGTCTCTGTCCCTCTGTGTGTGCGTGTGCACCTGTGCGTGCCTCTGTGCCTGTCTCTCTGCAGGGAAAGTCGCTGGCGGGCAAGCGCCTCACCGGCCTGATGCAGTCCTCCTGAGTGTCCCCACCACAGGGCCAGGGCCCGGGCCCTCAGAGCACAAGGGCAGGCGGCGGCGCTCCACATCTGCGGACAGAGTTTCCTTGCGGGGAGATTTGGTCACTGTGAAGGAGAAAGAGTGAGGGCCATGGAGGGCGATGGTGGGGAGACTTGGTGGGTGAACGGGGACACCAGGAAGCATCCACAGACCTGGGCCAGCAGGGAGAGGCTCCTGTTTGCACCCTCTTCCTTGTACAGTTGTGCGCCAGCACTCCGTCTACTTGGAGGCCCTGTTTCTAACTGAGTCAGGAGACAGCAGCTCACGGGATTCCTGTCGGACTATCACTTGAGATTATATTCTTATTATCCTCACTCCTCCTGCTGCCTGGGGGAGTCACACCCGCCAGCACATGCAAGAGGAGCCAGTGGACCCTGGGCACGTCCAGTATTATGCATCGCCCCTCTCTGGTGCCCCCACAGGGTGCACCTTCGTCACAGCCACCATGACCCGCCCCAGCCCCCCACCCTGACTCTGTGGCCACCTGGGTATGACCAGCCAGCACCAGGCACAGCTCCCACATAATATGTCCAGATCCTGTTTTCAGTGCGAAGGCGACCTCACCTCACCTGCTTTCCACCCACTTTGAGACCAACTTTCAAAGAGGTCTCCACGGGTGCGGTGGCAGCCCTTGGGTCCCATCAGATGTCTCAAGGGCCCATCACTGGAGGATGGGAGAGCACTGGTGCAGATGGAAGAGCATGTCGATGAGCAGCCATGGAGGTTCTGATGACCATCTTTTAAGAAAATTATTATTTCATTTTTCCTGTCTTTGCACCCTCGCTCCTTGGTTTGTTCCCTCACATTTTACTTAAAATAAACACGGCCGTGAACTTCAGGGGCCATTGGGATTCTCCCCTCTGGCAGCCTCAGGTGGAAGCTGGGAGGGCTCCGGCCCGGGAGGTGGCCAGATTGAGACCTGGAAGCCCCTAGCTGGTGGCATTCTGGTACGCACAGCCAGATCCTTGCTGGGTCAGGCGTCAGTTGTTCCTGAAGCTTCGGCAGAGTGTGCTATGGCAGGTCCAGGCCAGGGCCACGTGGTTCCCTTCCCAGTCTCAATCTGAGGGCCAGCCAGAGAGCACCCTGTTAAACAAAGCCTGTCATCTAGGAGAAAGCAAAGTCTGAGAAAGATCCCCTGGGTTCCTTGTGTGAGTGTGCACGTGTGTGTGTGTGTGTGTGCACGCGTGCGTGCGTGTGTGCGTGTGAAAATGACTTTGCCAACGTGGCTGTGAGGACGTGTATATAGAGCACCAAGTCAGGTGCCTGACACATAGTAGGTGCTTAGCAAATGGTAGCTAATACTGTCATCGTCGTCACTGTTGTTATTGTGATACCCACGAGACCTCGGGCAGAGCTGTATTGAGCAAGCTGTTTCTGAATTCAGACACTCAACCACCCCTACCTGCTACGACGATCCTCCTTTGATCTATTTTTGGCCACAGGTGAAAAAGAAATCTCCCTTGGGAGTGTATAAACAGAAAACATAGAAGGAAAAAAGTGATCCTTGGTGTTTCTTTACTCATGCAGGAAAATGCACCAGCTGGTGACCAAAGGCTCATTGGATCGCCATCCCAGCCTTCTGGGTGCTTCCCTATGACCCATCTTTCCAACCCCCAACCTCCGAGTCCTGTCTTTATCTGCTTCCACACAACCCTGTCCCCAGACCCCCACTCTCCCATCCCTCACAATAGAGCCATCAGGAACATTAGGAGTCTCCATTATGGGGTATCCTCATGGGTTCTTCCCTCCCGGCTGTAGTTCTTGTCTCTTCAGATACAGGAAAGTAAAAAGATGACATGTGTGGGCTCCTGAGAGAGTTTTCAAAGGGGCAAGACAGACCCAGATTCTCGGTGGGCACACCCACACTCTCAGCACCAAGCCCGGCACTAGCAGATACTTGGTAACTACCTGAGTAAATGAATGTGATGAAGCCTTATCTCAATGACAGGGTCTCAAAAGGGGCCTCTTTCCACTTCTTTTAAATCCCCTTTTTATTTATACGCACTTCCTGTTTCAGAACAAAGTTATGGTCCAAGTTCATTTGCACCCAACATTGTCCCAACTGTGCTGATAGGGAGGCGTGTGGACAAGGAGGGTTCCCAAGCAGTGGGCACCTTTGTACCTTCAGTTATTCAGGGGAAGGGGTCTGGCTGCCTTCTGCCCCTCCCACAGGCTGCAGAGGACATCCTAGGTCAGGCTGTGGACAAGGCAGGGTCGGCTTCCTGGCCATGACTTCTGCGCCCCTTCCTTCCCCCCAACTCTTTACTGTTGCTCCTGAGCTATGCTGGCCTGAGAACTGACCTTCACCATGGAGGACCCTAAAGGGCCCATCCAGAGCCAGATGGACTGTGGCCCTGAGATAGAACAAGCTCAAGGATTCTAACCACCTTGGGGACATCCAGAGGGGAGGACAATGACAGCAGAGGCTCCACAGAGGTGAGGATACCTCAGATGGATTCAAACCCAGAGCAATAACCCCCTAATCCTCACCTTTTTTTTTTTTTTTTGGCAGAAGCAGGCATGGTCCTGTGACCACCACCATATGTGCTCCTCAGTAGATCCAACAGGGGAAGGAAGGAAGTGGGGCAGGCTGCTTCACCCAAGTTTGCCAGTCCAAGGCCAGCCTACCACTCAGACCTTTTAATGCAAGGATTTAGAAAATCGAGTCTTGGCCAGTTCCCCATTGGTCTGGTGGACATGGCCAACATTCCAGGCTAGGTTAGAGGTTTGAAGGTAGTTCTGTAGCCAAGTAGATCCTCTGTCCCATCCTGTCCCCTAAAACCACCTGAGCTTCCCTGCCTGGGCATGGCCTCTGAGCCTAAGATGCTTCCCCCTGAGGGTTCGCAGGGTAAATATCATTTTGATGGACGATGGCCAAAGTATCAAGACAGCCTTATCAAGTGACCACCAACCCCTCTAGGCAAGACACACGGGCCCCAGGGATGAAACATCTGAATGAATTAACCTTCCCTGCCTGGGAAGAGGACAACAGGTATAAATGCCTAGTGGCAACCAGATGGCCTGAGCCAAGCAGCTGGAACTCTCTAGGTTGGGGGAAGGCTCCTGCTCTCCCAGAAAGTGATGTCCCAACTTTGTCCTCCTGGGAAGGTGTTACAATACCGCAGAGGCCCAGCTGCCAATGCAATTGACTGGGCCTGGGTTCCAGGTTCTCCACTGCTGAGTGGTCAGTACCAGGCCGACACCTCAGAAGGGCCTCTTGCAACTCTGGGTTGCTAACTGACTAGCTGAACATGTAGGGACATGCTCAGGGGTGCTCCCCTATCAGGATTCTTGGTATGTTCAAACTACCTCACCAACAGGACACTGACCCAGGAGCCTGCCTCCCATCTGGCTCCCTGGCTGGTTTTTGGAAATGGATATTTTTCCTAAAATGCATCCCTCCTGTTCTGTTCCAAATGCACAGGCTTCAAAAGCCACCACCAGGAAGCCTTCCCAGAAGGTAGAAAGGACTGAGGGTTATTGGTCTTTGGGTCTTGCAGAATGTAGAAGCTGGGAAGCCCTGGGCTGGGGGAAAATAATGTGCCATCACTAAAAAGGATCTGGCTGAGATGAATGTGTAGCAAGGACCATGAAATAGTCAAACAGTGGCCAAATTAATCACTAATAACTCGCCACAGGAACCTCTGAAGGGAGGCCTGTGCTCATGTAACCATGGCAACAGCAGACGCCAGCAACTTACTCATTAGTGCCACCCAGTAATAAGGCATCCCCTGGGCAAGACCAGGGGCCATAAAGTAGCAAAGTAGCAAATGTAGCAATAAGGGGCCCAGGGCCCCAAAGGGGCAGGGCCTAAATTACTAGGGCTTAGCCCTCTCCCTAGCCCCTGTAAGGGCTCAGAGCCAGCTGCTGCCAGCTGTCTGGGGAGAGGAGGCCCTGCACACCCCAGGGCCTGACCTGTATTCTATGCCCACTTACTGCATGATCATGGACACATTGGAATGGCCTCCTCATAGTGCATGTGGTTCTCATTAGTTTATTTTTCTGGAATTGGGGGATTGGACCCCAGAACCAAACAGGCTGGTAATAGTTTTAAAATAAATGACTTGAACCCACTACAATCTAGCTAACTCTGTGTGACTCCTTGATTTGGCTGTTCATTGGGCAGGATTTATTTCTAAGGGGAAAAACAAAAATCTACCATTCCTCCCACCCTCTACCGTGCCCCGTTATCACATGTGTGTGCTCCTGTGCAAAAAGACACACACACACACACACACACACACACACACACACATTCTGTTTCCCTCTTGCTCCCAAGGATGCTAGGCAGCTCAGAGAAGCCAGATCATTCTGCTAGGTTGGGATAGCAGCGTCACCAGAATGTTGAAGCCCCTTCTTCCACCAGGGTGTCCCTGGCTGGGTGGTCTCCGTGTCCCACTGTCTTTGCTCAGGTTCAAAAACCCAGTGGCCACTCTGACACCACCTTGAATAAAGTCTCGGGATTGAAGTCCGTTGCATACAGCCGGTGCTCTTTATGGGGAGTCTTGGTTTCCTGAGCGACAGACAATCTCATTTCCCCCTAACACCAAAGCAGCAGGACTCCGAGAGCCTGAGAGTCAGGCTGACAAGAGGAGGAAGAGAACAAAGTAAAAAGGACTCTCTATTAATGACGAGGCTGGCACCTAGCAGCACGCTTCAGTGGCTGGAAATTTTGCTCCTGGAGGTAGAAATGATTTCAGAGGCATAGACATGGGTCTTCAGTCACATCTGGATGGGAGCCAAACTCTCTCAAACCCGGGACACCTCCTTGAGCAGAACTTCCTGCTCTACAAGGTCAAGTTCAAGGTCACACCTGCCTGGAGTCTATAGTGTGTCCCACCGTTAGGTCCTGGCCTATCCGCAAAAGAGCCACGCTTCCCTGTCCTTCCGGCCATGGCCACCCCTCCTACCCAGCCAGACCATCTGGCTTATTTCCAGAATATTTGTTTAGCAAGCTGTCACTGTGTGTGCACACAATCCTACAGACCACCAAGGACAGAGGTCTGCTTTTATGTCAAGGGTAGTGGAGGAGATTTGGGGCTGCCACTAATAATCCAAAGGTGTGGGGGAGCCACCTTCACGGCTTCCTCTCTCCCTATACCCTCTTGGGGACTTTTGACCTAATAGGCAGGCGGCTGTCCTTCCCCCTGGGGCCAGTTTCCAATTGTTCTTTGAGTCTCAGCCTCTGAAGGACCTTCTGGGCCTCTGATCTTAGGAGTGTCCTGACATGTGGCAGCCTCTAAACCCAGATGGCCCTCGGACAGGCAGGTCCCCTCCGGAACTGACAGAGCTCTGCCTCGGCCTGCCTTCCTCAGCAGAAGCAGGGAACTACTGAATGCGCTCAGTGCAACTCCCCAAGCCTGCTGCTGGGGTCTTTCCCTTCACCCAGCCATCCAGCACCCTGCAGTGGGGTGTCCCAGGCCCCACACCACACAGCCCCTCCCGTCCCCACTCTTGAAGAGAAGCTGCAGAGTCTGGTTTATTTTAAAGGGGCCTGGGTGAGCAGTACAGCTCAACATGAGCTCCATTTACAACAGAGCTCCTTGGTACACTGCTACTACAGCCACCTCAGGACCCTGGAGCGGCCCTGGCCAGGTCTGGCTTATTTCAGCCTACAAAATGACAAGACGGAGGAACAGCCCCTAATGGCAGAGACTGACCCACACACCCTTGGTCTGGGCTTAACCCCTGCCTGGCACATGGCATTTCTGAATTGAGGCTGGTATCACCTAGTGCCAGGTGTCTGAGGTAGGCACCGGGAGTTGGTGAAGGTAGAATACCTCAGCCAATCTCGGACAGTCAGACAGCTTCCCCTCACACCCTGACCCTTGGGTGCCAGCCCTCCTCACCAACCTGGAAGTGGTGGGCTTTTTTGGCCTGTGCAGGCAGCAACCTCCAGGCCCTGCCTGTGACAAGCCCCTGGCTGTCCCTTCCCAGTAAGGCCTCAGTTCCCTCACTGTCACTAGGATGGCCTTGATTAGTGCCCCTACAGTAGGCCTCATAACGGTAGAGTGGGGGAGTGGGGGTGTCCCTTCAGACCTCTATGGCAGTGGGCACAGCAGGGCTCGGTGCACCCCCTCTGGATGCCCATTTGTCCCACAGGGCTTGTGGCCACTTCATTGGGATCTGGATTCTGAGTTCTTGGTCAGAAATATTCCATTTCAGGAAAGGAACTGAGAACAGAAACCAGGTTGAGGAGCTGGGCAAGGCCTCGGTCCTGGGAATGCCCAGGACCCCTGTGAATCTCCACGGAAGGAGGTCCCTCTTTCCTGAAATGTCCAACCAAGCAAATGAAGCCTATTTTTCCTCTTTGTCAAAACTGTCATCATGGAAAGATGGTTTTGAGTTGGGGAGGGTTGGGAGGGTCGGTGAAGGAAAAGTCAAAAAGTGAGTCAGACCCCTAGATTTCTCCTGCTGCTGCCTTTCCCTGTGGTCAGACCCTCAGGAAGGATTCAGTGTATATCAGCACTGAGCAGGAATTCCCAGATTTTTTGGACTAACTGTGAGTGTATGTATGTGTGTGATACTTTGTTTTTTGTTTATTGAGCTTTAATTTACTTATAATAAAGTTCCTCCTTGATACCTAAGGTGCTGTCAATTTTGACAAACTCATTCAATGAGGTAACAACACCAAATGTTCCCTGGTGCCCTTTTATGGTCAATCCCTTCCCCCACCCTTCTGCTCCTGACAGCTATTGATCTGTCTGTCTTAGAAAGCTGCATAAAGGGAATCACAGAGTAGGTGACCTTTGAGTCCAGCTTCTCTCACTTAGCTCAGTGCCCATTAAGACATGTATAGGTAAGACATTCCTCAATTCTTTGTTTTTATGCAGAAAGAAACTGAGGCCCAAAGCAGAAGAGTTTGGGTCTGGAGCAACAAAGCTCAGAGCACAGGTCTCAGCTACTACACAGTCCTCCAGTCCCATTGGCCACACCTCAGCAAAACCCAAATCTGTGAGCCATTCTTTGAGAAAGCACGTGATCATAGAACATGCACACTGCAGAGAACGCATGCCTTAGTCATCTTACAGAAGCCTCTTGCTTGGAAACAAAAAGAAGCAATGATGCATATATATCAGATGGGGGTAGGGAAGGATTAACTATAAAGGAGCCTGGGGGAATCTTTCAACATGAAGGAATTATTCTCCATCCTGATTTTTGGTGTGGTTTCATCATCCCAGAAGCAATGGTGCAGTGCTTGTTGTAACTCTGGGTAGGTGGACTCCTACCAATAAAACGGGAGCTCCTCCACACCTTCTCCAAACAGATTGATGAAGAGTAACAATGTGAGGAAAGCTAACTGACAGCACAGTGTTGGAACAGAGCCCAGGGACAGAGAGATCCAGGTAGAGAGATGCAGCCATGAAAACCAGGCCATGTGAGGAGATAACCTGGGGGGGGGTTCTCTGAGAGATCTCAAAATCCAAATAATTGGAGTTTTAAAGGCAGCATTATGAACTCATGAATTTAAATACATCTGATGTATTTCAATCCATCACATTTATTATCCTTATTGATGTCTAAAGTGCCCCATTTTTGGCCAGTGAGAGAGTGAATTCTTTAGACATGACCTTGATCATCTTTGATAACTTCATTGTTATCTGGCATGACAAGATAATTCAGAATAGTCTTGCACATCTCTTGTCCTGTCCCTAAATTCCAAGTGAGTGAAAGTCTGTGAATGCTATACCCTAAAATCATGCTGATGGACTTGGCCTATAAACTGAGTATCCTGTGCCTCCAGAATATTAGAATGGAAAATGTTTTTTTAACAACCAACGAGCTCAGAGCCTCCACTCTACAGAATGGGAAACAGAAGCCTAGAAATGTCAAATGATATATCAGGTTACACAGGGCTGTGTCAGGGCAAGGGTTAAAGACTAAGCTTCCTGATTCCCAATTTCTGTGCTTTCCATGGGCCTTCGTTTCCTGACAGGGCCTCGGTCCATCTCCCCAGGCCATTCCTACCAGGCCACATCCAGCCTTTTCTGTGTGTACTGCAAGATTGATAGGAAAAGTGGAAATACCCAATTTCAAAACTTGTGATGAAGCTACAGTAATCAAGACAGTGACGTATTGGTACAAGAATAGACATAGAAATTAATGGAGTAGAATTGAAAGTCTAGAAATAAACCCAAACATTTACAGTCAATTCATTTTTAAACAAGAATGCCAAAACAATTTATTGGGCAGGGGAAGGGGGGAGGGAGAAAAAATAGTCTTTTTAACAAGTGGTGCCAGGACACCTGAATAAAATTGAAGTTGAAGAATGAAGTTGAATCCCTACCTCACTCCACATGCAAAAAGCTAACTCAAGTGGATCAAAAAGCTCTGTAAAACTCTCACAAGAAAACATAGGAGCAAATCCTCATGATCTTGGGTTAGGCAATTGTTTCCAAAAGCCACCAAAGAAAAAAATAAATAAATTGGACTTCATCAAAATTAAAAACCGTTGTGCTTCAAAGGACATCAAGGAAATAAGAAGATACTCCTGGATTTGGAGAAAATATTGACAATCATACATCTAGGACATATTTAGAACTTCTAAATTCAATAATAAAAATATAAATAATAAAATTAAAATATGAACAAAGGATCTATCTAGACATTCCCCGCAAAGAAGATATACAAATGGACAAAAAACACAGGAAAAGATGTTGGACATCATTACTACTGGGGAAATACAAACTTAAACCTGCAGTGAGATGCCACGTCACTCACACCTGCTAAGATGTGAATAACAAAAAACAGACAGCAAGAATCCATGAGGATGTGGAGAAATTGGAGCTCTCATATGGTGTAAAGAATGCCAGAATGTTAAATAGTGGGAATGTAAAATGCTACAGTCACTTTGGGAACATTTTCTCAAAAGGTTCAACTTAGAGCGACCATAAGACCCAGCAATTCCACTCTACATATACACCTAGGAAAAAGGAAAAACACATGTCCACAAAAAAATTTGAATACTAGCATTCCTAGAAGCATTATTCACAGGAACCAAAAAATGGAAATAACCCAAATGTCTGTCAACCAATAAACAAGCAAACAAAACGTAGCATCTCCACACAAAGGAACATATTTGA